AGAAAGGGACAGTAAGTGGACACACGCACACTTCTCAAATTCCTTACCCTCTTAAATAGTTCAGGATCTTCTGCCAAGTTTCTACCCACAGTTAGTCTTCATACATCAATTAAGATAATCAAGATAATCTCCCAGGGGCATGCTAAGAGGTCCATCTCCCAGGTGACTATAAACTTTGTCAAGTTTACAGTCAAGGCATATTAACACTAACCATCTGTGGTGGTTTGAAAGAAAATGGCCCCCAAAGGGAGTGGCACTCTTAGGAGATGTGGCTTTGTAGGAGTAGGTGTGGCCTTTTTGGAGGAAGTGTGTCACTGTGGAGGTGAGTTTTAAGGTCTCATAGGCATGCCCAGTGAGAAAGACCACATCCTGTTACCTGTGCAAGATGTAGCCCTATCAGCTCCTTCTCCAGCACCATGTCTGCCTGCATGCCACCGTGTTGGGCCTAAGGAAGGCTAAGATGGGAGTCCCAGTATAGGCTCCTGAGCCTGGCTAGAGTCTGACGACCTGTCTCTAACCTGTAACCTCCACGTGGGGGTGACTCAGCCAGACCTGATGCAAGATTGCCCCCTGCCTAGCTACCTGCCCACTTGGTGGAATATTATTGGCCCTTACTCCTCACATGACCCTACTCTATCCTATGTTTCCCATCCCCTACCTCAGCCCAATATAAGTTCCTGCCTGTTGGAATAACAGACTCCGGACTCAGTGTGCGTTTTTTCTCCCCAGTAACTAATAGGGGGAGGGTCTGAGTCATCAACACTCCTCATCCCCCTCAGCCTCTGGGAAGAGACCGGCTGGACCAAGCCCTTCCTGTGTTCTACCTACAGGGAGGACCCTGCAGAGATGGTGCCCCATGTGAGAATGGAAGAACGCTGAAGGGCCAATCGGTCTGCGGGTGAGTGTACCCCCATAAATTATGGGGCAGTCTTCATCCAAATCTAACCCTACCCTAGAATCTTTACGGGTCCTGCTTAAAAGTAGAGGCCTTAACCTTTCTGATAATCATGCTCTCCAGGCCTGGGGCAGTTTGCTCAAGATTTCTCCCTGGCTGCCAGAGAGTTCCCTTTTTGACTGGAATACTTGGGATAAGATTTAAACCCTAATTAGGAGAGCTCAGGTGGAAAAAGGAGAGATTCCCCCACTGGGGACCCTCCCGACAGTGTCTGCCTTAAAGGGTTGCTTCCCCATCAACCCCCTAGGGAGAAGAGTGAGGCCCTGATCCAGGAAGGGACAAAAGGAGATAAACTCAGGAAAAACCAAAGCCAAATCCTAGTCCCTCACACCTCCTTGTGTCCCTGTATCCATCCCTAGACCCTTTTGAAAGTGCTCCTTGGCAGTCTAAGGTTATGCAACTTCCAGGTCCCCCAACTAATCCTTTCCGGAACCCCCCTGCACCACCACCTTACTGCAGGGAAGGATGCTTCTGGGGGAGAAATGACCAATCTTTTTCCTGTCAATGTTAACCCCGGTGGCAACTGAAAGACCCTGAATTTATAGAAATAAAATATAAGCTTAAACAGGGAGGGCACCCCACTAGAGAACTCAGAAAGTAAACAAAGGGCCACATCCCAGGAACTGACCAAATCACAGAATGGGATGTATGGTTTAGCAACCTTAATTGCAGAAGGGCTGTAAACCCACAAAAGGCCAATTCCAGGCTGCTGACCACCTGTGAAGAACTGACCAGGGCGTCAGAGATGGGCAAACAAGATTTATGGGAAACAAGGAGATGATAACCACCATTTACTTAGGGAGAGATGAATAACTCATACCAAGGTTTGAGGAATTTACAACATGTAGGTCAGGAAGACATCTACTTCCCCTGGTCAGTAGTCACGTACCCCCCCATCACAAGATAGGGACCCCTCCCAAAGGCTTGTGGTTTTTGTCTTTAAAAGCTGATTGTAACTGAACCTCAGGGCCAATCGGTCTAAAAGCTGACCGAGAGGCACATCTGCAGATGCCTAATTAAAGCCTCTTGCGTGTTGCATCAATTGGCGCATGGACTATTGATTCTTGGGGTGACAAATCCAGCTTGGGGACCCCTCCTCAATTCAGGGTACCCCAACAGCAACCACCAGGCTGCCTGGCGGTACCCCTTGGAAGTCCCAGAGGACAGACCTAATTCCCCCTGGGTGGAGACTATCCTCCAGGGCTTAGCCCACCGTCAATGTACCACCCAGGATGGGAAGGACCTTGCTAGGCAGTGCTTCCCGGATCCATGTTTCTGAAGTGGAGCGCGTTTTTTCAGAATGAATGTCGCATTCAGGCAAAATGAAATCAGAAAGCCTGCCCTGTGGTCCCAATTACTTTTGGCATGCTTTCGGGCAGTTATCTACCGGCCTCCAACTAGCCCCTGGGTTTTGTTATTAAAAAAAAAGAAAAGAAAAAGAAAAAGGTCCAGTGGCTCTTGGAGGCTTTTACATGACTTTTTTTGTTTTTTAGATTTATTTATTTATTATGTATACAGCATTCTGTCTGCATGTGTCCCTGCAGGCCAGAAGAGGGCACCAGATGTCATTACAGATGGTTGTGAGCCACCATGTGGTTGCTGGGAATTGAACTCAGGACCTCTGGAAGAGCAGCCAGTGCTCTTAACCACTGAGCCATCTCTCCAGCCCCGGCTTTTACATGACTTAAGGAAAATAAATGAGATGATGATACCTTTTGGGACCCTGAAAAAGGGACTCCCCTGGATTCCAGCCATTCCCAACACCCATTATTTAACTATTATCGGTATTAAGGATTGTTTTTTCTCGATCCCATTACACCCAGATGATATAGAAAAATTTGCCTTTTCTGTACCTTCAACAAATTTTTGCCAGCCAGATCTAAGATTTGAATGGACCGTCCTACCCCAGGGCCTGGCCAATTGCCCTCCTATTTGTCAGCATTATATGTTACATATTTTTTTCTTCCTTGATTTGTCATCCTAATATATTATTCTATATTTATATGGGTGATATTATTTTGGGTTGTCCCAACCCATCTGACCTCCAAGATCTTACTGCCAAATGTCTTGCCAATGATTTTAAGGTGGCTCCTGAAAAGATTCAGACTAGTTCTCCTTTTAAGTTTTTGGGTCCCATGTTATTTCTTGATACTGTCTCTCCTGTTAAACCCCAACTTCACATTCAGGATTCTTATGCCTTGCCCCAGCTCCAAAAGACATTGGGGGAAATTAATGTCTGAGGCCCTGGATTTCCATAACTACTGAGGAACTGACTCCTTTGTTTGACCTCCTAAAAGGTCATGATCTCTCCTCACAGATAATTCTATCTGCTGACCATGTACAGATTTTAAGTAAAGTTCAACAGGCCATAGACACTGCAACCTTCAGGAGGTAGGATCCTCTTTTGCCCCTCACCCTTTACGTTTTTCCTGGGGAAACTTTATGTACCGCCTTGTTAGCACAAGAGGGTGAGCCCTTACATTGGATTCACCTCTCGATAGGTGGTGCCCCCAGAGTCTATTCAGTAACCAATCAGATTGCTGATTGCATTGTTAAGGGCAGGGACACCTCTGTCCAGCTGTTTGGCACAGAACCTCATCTTATTATAATTCCCTTTAAGACAACAGATTTCACTTGGCTTCAGAGAAACAATAGTTGGATTGCTATGGCTCTTGAGTGGTTTCTGGGTAAAGTTGACTGTCACTATGATCCTCACAAATGGATGAGCTCCTTCTCTAGGTTAGAATGGAGGCCCCCCGACTTTTTTTTACCTCAACCCAACCCTGATTTTCTTACTGTGTTTACTGATGGGGCACCTGGGGGCTTCTTTAGTCATTTACCACCACCCCCCTTAGAACACGGTAAAGAGCCACTGCCCATAAAGTCAGTCTCCCAAAAAGTTGAGGAGTCAGCACAATTTTTTTTTTGGTTTTTCGAGACAGGGCTTCTCTGTGGCTTTGGAGGCTGTCCTGGAACTCGCTTGGTAGTCCAGGCTGGTCTCGAACTCACAGAGATCCGCCTGCCTCTGCCTCCCAAGTGCTGGGATTAAAGGTGTGCACCACCAACGCCCGATGAGGAGTCAGCACAATTTAAGGAACTGTTTGCTGTGGTTCTTGCATTAGACACTATTCAAGAGTCATTTAACTTATTCTCTGACAGCGTTTATGTTGTTAATTGGAGGGGTGTTAAACACAAGTATCCACATGTACCAGTCAAGGACCTTAAAAAGATTGTCCCAACTTGTAAGTCCTGCCAGCCTCTCCTTCAGATACCCCCCAAACTAGTGGAAGCAACCCTCGAGGGCTTCCTCCTAATAACCTTTAGCAAATTGATGTTACTCATTATTCTCCATTTGAAAGGTTAAATATATTTTTCTCTCGGTTGATACCTTTTCCCATGCCTGCTGGGCATCGGCACACGCCAGGGGGGGGGCAGCGGGGAGGGAGCTAAACATGCTATTAGCCATATGCTTCAATGCTTTGCCACTCTTGGATTGCCTGATCAGATTAAGACAGATAATGGCCCATGCTTTGTAAGCAGGGCCTTTGTGGACTTGCTTAAGACTTGGAGCATCTCACACTCCACAGGCATCCCATACTATCCTCAGGGTCAAGCAGCTGTGGAAAGGTATAATCAAGTTCTCAAATCTCAATTACAAAAACAAAAGGGGGAATCTATACCCCCACATGATCAATTAAAAAGGCATTATTCACCCTAAATATTTTAAATTTTTCTAAAGAAGATAAATACCTGTCTCCATTTCAAAAACATTGGTCCTCATCAGTTACCTACAGTTCTATTTGGGTCAGATGGAGGGAACCATTGACAGGGGTCTGGAGAGGACCAGACCCCCTCCTCTCAGCAGGGAGAGGATTTGGATGTGTCTTCCCTCAAAATGAAAAAAGACCCATTTGGGTACCAGTGAGAGACCTAAAATATTTGCCCCAACAAGGGGACAATGACCATCACTTCTCCAGGGAGTGTTCCACCCCTGAGAACTGTGTCTCTGTTTCCCCCCAGGAATGAATGAAGATGTGGGTGATGCTGCTCTTCCTAGTATCAATGATGCTCATCCTGCCCAGTGATGGAGGATTTGGAAACCCACATAACGCCAAAGTTATCCTGGCTCGCCTGATGGGGAAACCCTGTGACTGCCAGGGTGGAACATACTCGGTATCTCCCTTTAGTGGACGGGTCATACAACAGGTAGATTGTGATACCAAGATAGAAGTCAATATGATTGACACATCAGTATCCCTTTTTTCAAATTCCAATAAGTGGATATGCATAGAGAAGCCCAAGATTATCCCCCAGGTTGATGGGAAGCCAGGACCCTGTCCTTGCACTGCTTTCTATCCAACAATGCATTTGGCCTGCTACGGCATTGCCCAAATGTGCACCAGTAGTTCCACTAAAAAGACTTACTGGACTGGGGTCCGAAATAGAGTGCTCTCTGGAGGTGAGAGTGGTTGGATTGTAAGAGATAGAGGGTGTGCCTCTGCCCCTTGCTTGGAGCCCCTGGTGAAACTGCTGGGAACTTGCCCCCCTATCGATTATTCAGATGGTGGGGGAATTCAAGATCAGGTTAGGGAACAAGAAGTTCATAAAAAGATAGAATAACTTGTTTTGGCCCAGTACCCAGAACTCAACTATCACCCTGTTGCTCTCCCTGAAAATCAGGGTGAGCTAGTGCTCGACCCCCATACCTGAAGGAAGGACCCTGCACCCCGGCGTCCCACCATGATGATAATGGACTGAACCTCTGAACTGTAAGTCATCCCAGTAAATGTTTTCCTTTATAAGAGTAATCATGGTGGTCATGGTGTCTCTTCACAGCAACAGAAACCCTAAGATGCCATCACATAGTCTTATTAATAAATCTATTTCTCATAAAGGTATGTGATAACAACTCCAACCTTCTAAAAAATATTGGTGGCCAGCCTGGTCGACAGAACAAGTTCCAGAACAGTCAGAGCTACACACAAAGAAACCCTGTCTCAAAAAAAAAAAAAATTGTTTGCTCTTTGACAATTCCATATATGCATATAATATATTTTGATCCTATTCAGCCCCCTCTCTTATCCTTTTCCTACACCCTCTAGAGCCCTTCTTTCCCCAACTCATCTGCTTCCCACTCTCCTAACAGCCTACTGAGTTTAATCAGGGTTGCTTGCGTATACATAGGTGCGGGGTTATTTACTGGATCCCTACCCCATCCCTGCTGAAATACTGACAGTTCAGTCTTCGGCTAGTTTGCTTTAGAGATGACCACGAGGGCTGTGAGTTTGTGAGAGCAGCACCATGTCACATCTTCAGACAGTGTTCTCACAGCGCTTTCCCCCATCTTCCAGCACTTACCGTGGACCACTCCAGCTGGTGGTGTGAACCCAGGAGAGCAGAGCTGATAAACGGGGCGGACTAAAGGCTCATGCCATAGCCAACTTTATTCAGAGTACCATAGCCAACTTTATTCAGAGCATCAGACAAATTATACTCCAAGGATTAAGAAGAATCACATGAGTAATGTGTTCAATCACAAGGACAAGCCACATGTGACAAAAACATGTTTTTCCCCTAGAGGCATATGAATAACAACAACTGAAGTAAACTCATTCCTATCTGCTACCCCTAGGAAGGGCACAAAAGCACATCCTAAGAACAACTCCATATTTTTAAGAAACAGAGGTCATGCCAGGTGGTGGTGGAGCAAACCTTTAATCCCAGCACTTGGGAGGCAGAGGCAGGCAGATCTCTTCCGTTCGAGGCCAGTCTGGTCTACATCGTGAGTTCCAGGACAGCCAGGGTTATACAGAGAAAACGTGTCTCAAGGGGAAAAAAAAACAAATCACAAGACTTGTCTTTTTTGTTTGTTTTTTGTTGTTGTTGTTATTTTTGGAGTTTTCTCATAAACACTCAGAATTCCCCTTGCACGACTCCATTCTTGGACTGTGTTCTGACACTGACGTTCTTTCTGTCCCAGTGATTCTTCTATAACTGTACCAGCACAGACATAATCTCCAAGTATGTCACCTTCTGAGACTCTAAATGAACACAGATTTTGAGAGAGATACGCTATTTGTGCTGGTTAGGGGGTTTTTAGTTTTGTCTTGTATTTTGTCAACTTGATACAAATCAGAGTCATCTTGGGAAAGAGAACCTCAAAAGAGAAAATGCTGCCATTATGTTGGCCTGGGGATAAGTACAGCCCACTGTGGAAGGTACCACTTTTAGGCGGGTGTGCTTCTACACTGTACAGGAAAGCAGGCTGGGCAAACCATGCGGAATAAGCCGGTAAGCAGCATTTCTCCTTGGCCTCTGCCTCATTTCCTGTTTCCAGGTACCTGCCCTGCCTTAGTTCTTCAATAATAGACTTCAATCAGGATGTGTAAGGAAAACCCTTTCCTCCACAGGTTGCTTTTGGCCAGTGTTATCACAGCAACAGAAAACAAACTCATATATTGCCCAACCCAGTTCAGTAAGTAAATTGTGATTACATTTTTTGGAATTTGGACTGGGGGTATAATTCAATGATAGAATGCCTACTTAGTATGAACTGTGTTTGATCTCAGTAGAAATTTTCTTTGAAGTTCCACCATACACTGCCTGAAGTTGTCTTGCTTCTGACAGTCAGTGGTTTGCAAACCACATTGTGGGGCAGGCTTTGGTGTGCATGAAACAGCATTTAGATGCATCTGGGCCCCTCTTCCAGCTTCAAAAAGCATCAGATTTTACAGTCAATGTGGTTGTACTTCCTCTGTTACATTAAAACCAGTAGGTGTTTGAGGAAATAAAAAATAGGCTTAATTCTCCACTTTTGTGAACTCAGGAAACGCTATTATCCTTTATGGTTTTACATACTATTTTAAGAAGGTACATGAACAGATATCCAGTGCATGACTCACTATTTTCTGAAATCAGTGACTGTACTTTACAGGTCTAAGGGGTTGTGTTTAGGGACTTACTCCAAGGGGTAATAAGCTGGATTTGCAATTAAATAAAAAAGGCATTAGGTGCAGCTTGACATTGTGAAACTCCATCATGTGCAAGAAAGCAGGGGCAAGAAACTGAAAGCACCATAAACAGGAACCCACAGTACAGCCTAAATTTCAAACAGAGAAAAGGTTAGAGACAGCAGCTTTTATGCACTAAGTATCCTTCATGAACCACAGGTGGGAGAAACTTGGGTTTTCTACTTGGAATAATACTCAGCAGATTTAGATAATCTAGAAGCACCTACCTGAGCCTTTTCTTCCCTCTTCCCTTTTTTCCTGTTCTGGACATGAAACCCAGGGTCTTGCACATGCTAGGTAAGTGGTCTATCAATAATCTGTCTTCCAGCTGGGCGTTGGAAGCGCATGCCTTTAATCCCAGCACTCCAGAGGCAGATCTCTGTGAGTTTGAGACCAGGCTGGTGTACAGAGCGAGTTCCAGGACAGCCTCCAAAACAATACAGAGAAACCCTGTCTCAAAAAAATTATAATTGAGCCGAACAGTGGTGGCACATGCCTTTAATCCCAGCACTTGGGAGGCAGGCAGATCTCTGTGAGTTCAAGGCCAGCCTGGTCTACAAAGCCACACAGAGAATCCTGTCTCGAAAAACCATTTTTTAAACAAAATCATAATTGATTAAAAGCATTAGAGAATAAACCATCATGAATGAAAAGTCATCAAATGATGGAGACTGATTATTATATAAGCTTGATACAAAGTATTGTGAAATATGCATAAGAACAGATGCTGCCTTTGGAAAAGGCTCGTCAGGGAGCACATTTCCATTAAACACATATGGTGTGGGCTCTCTCACACACATACCACCTCAGAGTTTTACTAGGAGCTAAATAATTCAAGATGGTGCAAGCAGATCACAGAAATGCAATAAAACACTCCAAATGAATTGGATTGTTGCCATGAAAAATAACCTAGGCATCAACAACAAAAATCCTTAAGATAAGACGAGACTGGCAAAGGTCCCCAAAGTGAAAAATTCAGTATTGGTTGGCAAAAAGCCAAAGTACAAGATGTGACTAGCCTGTGCCTCGTGTTCCTGTTCACAGACATTCTAGAGCAGCAGCCTGAACTTTTACATCTGAGGGCTGCTGACTTCAAAGAGTATCTGCCACTGGAGGGACCGTCACCCAGCACCATTGCCAACAGAGAGCTTGGTAAGAATTCTCTTGCAGAACTCCCTCAGAGTCAGATAGGCACCTCATGGGAAAATGTGTTGCTACACTTTCTAATCACTTCTACATTTTCAAGAGGTGCAGGGCCCAAAATCAACAGGACCAGCTCCAAATGAAAATATATTGCTTTGGCAGAGACTGCATTTTTAGAAGGAGACAGGCAGCCCTGGCCTGCTTTCAGAAAGATGGGGGAGGAGAGAAGGGGCCCGTGGTGGGAAAGTTGGAGAAAGGGCTCTGCTGCTACTGTTTACTCTCTCTGCCTTTCAGAAATTCAAAGTCAGACTCAGATACTAAGATCTCTAAGAAAAGACTCATGAAAAGGGGCCTTGAGTTAGGTGTCCCAGCATGGGAGACAGAGGCAGATGGATCTCTGTGAGTTTGAGGCCAGCCTGGTCTACAAAGTGAGTTCCAGGACAGCCAGAGAGAAGTATGTAGAGAGACCCTGCCTAGAAAAAAGAAAAAAGAAAGAAAGAGATAAAATAAAAAGAAAAGGAGTCTTTTTAATTTGGTTTGACACAACTTTCCTCAAATTGGTCTGGCTGCAATGTCTACTGTTTGCATAACACTATTTACTATCTCATTCTATAGAGTTACTGAGGGGTAGCATGTGGTAACCATCCTTAAAGATGCTCCAGCAGTTCTCCACTCCTGAGACACAGAGCCTTGCTTCTTCGATGCCTATTGTAGAAATGATGGTGTGCATTTGGAAACTAGACATTTAAAGACACTAGGGGTTCCACCTTGCCCTCTCTTGAGCCGGTCCTTCTTAGCAAAGGCAGCCACCCTGTCATGAGGACACAGTCTGCCTGTGGTGAGCCTCACACTGAGAAGAACTGAGAAAACACACTTGGGTAGGAATGCGCCATCTTGGAATCGGACCCTCCAGCCCTAACTGAGCCTTCAGATGAGTGCATCTCCATCCAGCATCTCCTGGGCTATGACTTCAGGAGGCATCCTGAGTCAGAATGACCCAATCGAATCAAGCCACAGAGATGATATGAGAGCATAACTTTTTATTATTGTTTAAGCCACTAAGTTTGGGACTAACTAGTTGTGTAGTGATGGATAACAAGTACGGGGTTACTGACCTAAAGCACTTGATATCAATCACTTTCTTTTGTGGTTGTTTGTTTTTATTAGCACATATTAATGATAAATAATGAGTTTCATTATGATATTTTGATACATGTGTATAATATATTTTGACCATATTCATCCCATCACACCCTTTACTCCTACTTTCCTTTCCTTTCTTCTTCACATTTAGTTTCACTTCTATTTTTCGTGCCTTTTGTTTTTTAATGACACAATGGTTTTTATTAGGGCCGTTCATAGAGTATAAGTGAGGGACTATTTTGTAGGAGTCCAGACAGCTCACCAGTGGCTACACCACTGAAGAAAACGCCTCTCCTCAGAAATCATCAGCTGTCTATACTGCCTCGTTGAGGAGTGATGCCTTGGGAGGCCAACCCTCCCCTACCCAATCATTAATTGTCTCTGAGTTGTCAAGGAAGGATAGATCCACATAAGCCCCTCTGAGTCCATGGGCCATCAATTATCATTTTTGTCGATTATCAAACAGCTTTAGTGTGGAATTTATTTTCAGGGTTCTCTATATACAGAAAGCTGATTGACTGAGGAACTGATTTCAGCCTAAAAATCAACTACGGCCTATAATAGCCATTCTCTGAGGTTTCTGTAACTAAAGCTAGAAAAGAGATTTGTTCTCTCTGGCGGTGAGAGCAGTAGATGTTGTGTGCATCCACTGCACACAGAAGTGGAGTTGAGGGACTGAGAAAAAGACCACACAGAAGTTAGTCCCAGAGACTCCTGTGCCACCTGCCTTCACCATCCCCGAGTTCTCACCGTTGCCTAAGCTGAGTTTCAAAGCCTTGCCTCCAGATACGTCGCATCTGCACCCACATAATTCTGTGCCTCGGGCAGCTCACCCCTCGGAACACAGGCTGTAATTGCTGGCTGTCTCTCCTGCCCCCTGTCCATACAGATGGTGGCTTCAGGTTCAGCTATCCTGTCCCTCCTTGGAAACTGCGTTCATGAAGGCTGTGATAATCGTGTCTGGGTGTCAGCTAAGTTGATGTACTCCAACTGAGCCAGGTAGATTCTCCACTGAGGAATTCAAAAGTGAACATTCAGAGACTGGACACAGAAAGCCCCTCATGCTAATAATGGCACTCATAAAGGCAGTTGCTAATCTCTAGCTTTAAGGGTCCTCAAACTATCCCTGTCCTTCCCTTTCCTGTGAATTCTTCAGGAACCTTGAGTTCTTCCCACAAGCTTGAAAGGTCGCTTGGCTTCCAAAAACCAGTGAAATTACACAAACATATGTCTCTATCTACTATGCTGTCTGTGTGGCCAGGAACAACTTGTTCATCATTTTATCTTCAAGGCCACCATGGTTCCTAATCAGAACTCATTAAATATGGATGAATAACAAAACTCACAGGAAATGGGAGATGCTGTCCTTCCCACAGAGAAAGGGAGCTGATGGCTTTGGTTTTTTTCTTTCTTGCATCCTTTTCTGTCCTGGCCTTGGTTCTTCCTGGCCTGTCGGTGACGGGGACTATGTGTTTTTCACATTGTATGCATTACATGTCTGCTCACCCATGAGCTTCAGATAATCTATGAAACTTTGTCCCTGACTCTGTCACAGGGTCTTCTGGCCTATCTGCCTGGTTTCCCTGTGGACCTCACCTATGTTGAGCTGGAGTCATGAAAAGCACTCAGTTTCCACGTTCAAAGCCGGCTGACTTTTGCTTGACAATACCTCATTTCTCAGAGGCTCTGACGTGTGTGTCCTTTTGTTTCTTGGTTTGTTTTGTGTCTTTTTGCTTGCTTGTTTTGCTTTGTTTTTTTGAGACAAGATCTTGTTATTTAACCCAGGCTAACCTGGAGCTCACAATTCTCCTGCCTCCACTTTCTGAGTACTAGAAAGGGAGGTACACACTGTCACTGCTGTGGGATATTTGATCACACTGTGTGAAGATGTATTTGTCATTCCTCGCCTGCCTGAGGCACTTTCTGATTGGTTAGTAAAGAGCTAAATGGTCAATAGCTAGGCAGAAGAGGATAGGTGGAACTTCTGGGGAGAGAGAGGAACTAGGGGCTGGGAGGATCTGAGAGGCGGGGATTTGCCAGCCAGACATGGAGGAAGTGAGGCACACGGTACTGAGAAAAGGTAACCAGTCACGTGGTCCACAATGAGCTAATTTAAATTTTAGGAGCTATTTGGGAACAAACCTAAGCTAGGGCCAAGCTTTCACAATGGATAATAAGTCTCCTTGTCATTACTTGGTTGCTGATAGTCCAAAAAAAGACCCATTACACACCACAACCTCTGTGACACTTACATCTAATTGTTCTAGACCCCAGCTTCTTCAACTATGGCTCACAACCCCATATGAGAATTCATCACTGAATGTGGCAGGTTTGGGGGAAAAAATGAGTCACACCAAAAGATTTCTGGATGAGAAATGGCTGAAACTTAATCTTAAGTCAAAGGCATAATGAGTCTGGGGTGTTTCTGGGTAACAACTGGCCTGTGCTCATCCACCTTCAAAGTAGCACTGCTTCTGAATACGGCACATGCTTTCATACCACGGAGCCCAGTAAATTCTGACTGGCATACCTTGGTTCAGATTTGATATCACTGTATGATAAGTTTTCCACTCTTACCGAAACACATTTGCCCATATCACCATTCTTTGCCATATAAGTATCAGATTGGCTTGTACCATTGGGTTAGTGCTTCATTTTAAAAATTGCTGTTGAGCAGATGGATGTAACTCATGTAACCTCTTTTGGAAAATTGTCCTTTCTTCATGTAACTGTAGATACCTTTTCTCACTTTACTCATGCCTCAGCTAGAACTGGGGAAGCAGTTAAAGATGTTGTGCAACATTTGTCTCAATGTTTGCATATAATGGGATTTCCTTCACAAGTTAAAACGGACAACGGCCCTGTATACACCTCTAAGGCTTTTGCTTCCTTTTGCCAACAATGGGGCATTAAACATGTTACAGGAATTCCCTACAATCCTCAAGGACAGGCAATTATAGAAAGGACTCATCAGGTTCTTAAAACTCAAATAGAAAGGTTGCAGAGATCCAGCAATGTGTATTTTACTCCTCATCATGTTTTGTCACATTCTTTGTTTGTTATTAATCATTTAAATTTAAATAGCCAAGGAATTTCTGCTGCCCTATCCCATTGGGATAGAGAAATTATTAAAAGCCCATTGCCCAAAGTACTATGGAAAGATCTTTTAACCGGGACCTGGAAAGGGCCAGACATCCTCATAACGGCGGGACGAGGGTATGCTTGTATCTTTCCTCAGGATGCCGAGTCCCCCATTTGGGTTCCGGACCGACTCATCAGACCTGCCCCGAGAGAAAAGGAAGCAGAAGCGGAGGCAACGGAAGCAGCAGAAGCAGCTGATTCTGCAAATGAAGAAACTGAAAGTCAACCGGGGAAAGCCAATGACCTGGACTCAAGTTCGCTCGCTGACGCGACATGCTAAAGAACTTTTAATTGAATTGGGGAAACCCCCGACGCCTGCATGTTATGTCTTGGCCTTTTTTTCTCTCCTCTCTGCTACCCCTTTACCCATAGAGGGGGTTTCCTATTGGGCTTATGTTCCAGATCCTCCCATCATCCAGCCCGTAGGCTGGATGGACCCACAACACATTAAAATGTTAACAAATGATTCATTAAGAATAGGCGGTGCTCAGAATTCAGAGCTCCGCCCTAGCACGTCCTCCTTTATAAATTTTGAGGGCAGAGCAGATTCATTACCGGTCTGCCTGACTCTTCAGGGAAAGGCTCCTCATGGCTGCTTTACTACACGCTATAGGACCTTTCTTACAGATTCTCCTGATAGGGCACAACTCGGTGATTCCTCAGGTAAAAGATGGATATGGGAGGTTCAAATGCAGACTTTGGGTGATCCTTTATATAAAGAAGTCTTTGTAAATAGGCAAACAAGTCCTAAAGTACAGTGTATTGAGAAATACAGGGATAAGGATAAGTTCTGGGATGCAGCATTAACCAATAATCCAACATGGTTACAATGTGCTTTTCCTCATGCGGCTACTTGGTATGCTCCAGTTAATTTGACTGATGAAAATTTATTAGTATGGGATTATTCTAATTCTAATAATGGCTCCAATAAGATTTATGAAAATTATATTACACAAAATAAGGAAAAATTTCATAATTATACTTATGATGGCCTTGGAGAGCCTCTTAGAAGTTGGTTTTCACCTGGGATAGTAGAACCTACCTGGTTCATCGAACAAGGAAATATCACAAGGCGGCAGTCTGACCTATTTCGGTTAGTGGCCGCAGCCAATATGTTCTTGGAAAAGAAACCTGGTGAAAAGAAGTCTTTAGCTTATGGTTTGCGTGCATGTTTATCCTATCCCTATGCCATGCTTCTTGCGCAGCAGGCTTTTGTTAATATTTCCGATAGCCCGGAAATTCTTACTCGGTTACTTGCCATTCCTGTAAATTGACTAATTGTATTTCTTCAGCGGAACCAAAGGATTTGGACACAGTTATAATCGTTCGACGCCCTCCGTATGTTTTGTTGCCAGTAGAGCTTGGTGAAGAGCCTTGGTATGATAATGCTGCTTTACAAGTTTTAGAGGATTTTAATGCCCTTATTAGGCCAAAACATTTTGTTGCTGCTCTTGTTCTTGGCATTGCTGCTTTAATATCAATTTTAACTACTTTTGCTGTTGCCACCACGGCATTGGTTGAGACAATTCAAACTGCACAGTTTGTTAATAACCTCAATCGCAATGTTTCTCTTGCTTTAACTCAGCAGGAATTAATTGACAAGAAATTGGAATCAAAACTAAATGCTTTGGAGGAAGTGGTGATTGCACTTGGTTAGGAAATGAGCAATCTTAAAAATACGCTTTCAGTTCGCTGTCATGGCAATTTTAAGTCTATTTGTGTCACACCTCTGCCTTACAATACCTCTGAACCTTGGGAAAAAGTGAAAGCACATCTGCAGGGAGTCTGGACAAGCAGTAGCATTTCCCATGATATTGACTCATTACAAAAGGATATCTCAGCCATGAGTCAGTCGCATCTGCAGTTAGGGGGGGCTTCAACAACTAGCCTCCAGCCTTCAGTCTAATGTAAAGGCTCTTAATCCTTTAGATTGGCTACAATACTTTATATTTCTTGGCATCATTGTCTTGCTTTTCCTTATAGTAGTTTTTCTGTTTCCTCCTTTTATCTCATGTCTTTTCAAGTCGCTCAAAACAGTGCAACAAGATATCTTCGAGCTCCGTTTTAAAAACAAAAAAGGAGGAACTGCTACACCCACAGCGTGACCCCTGTGTAACTGTAGCAGAATGCTGCTCTACTGGGGGGAACCGCCTGAAGGGATGGGGTCAGAGCTTCTCGAAGCAGAGCCCCAGGCAGTCTCCTGGAGAGAAGCCCGACCCATGAGAGCCTCCAGAAGATCCCTGCGCTGCCGAGCAATATGTTCTGTTCTCTTTATGCTTTTCTGCATAATCTATCACTTTGCTATCTGTTTCCCAAGCACAGGCTGACCCAGATTCTAAAAAGGAAGCTGGCAATGCCACCAGCCCTGAGATGGATAACCCACTGCTCGAGGCACCTCCATTTATCCAGGCTGTTTATACAGAAGCTGGATACAATAAGATTAGTAATCAAAGATACTGGCATGCTTGCTTATGCAAGCATTTGTGGGAAGCCTTGTATCGCAGATGTGATTCCTTTAAAGAACACATTGCTAAGTACATCAGAGGGGAGCTAAAACTGTCCATGTAAGAAGAGGAAGTTGACACTTGTCTCTAAAGATGTGCTAGACATGATTCACCGAACAGCCAGTTCATGACCAACTGCAAAGCCACAAATAATTGTATTAATAGATAAACTTATTCTATGTCTGATCTGGGGCTGGAAACTTTTCGCTGAGATGTTCAAATTCTAAAAAATCATGATTCAGCTGTAACATGAATTGTATTTTTTCTATCCTTGTCAAGTTCCTTGTTCCTATCACTATATAAGAGAAGTTTAAACTTCAGTAAAATTACAGCAGTTCACTAAAACTCTTGGTGTCTGTCTGTCATTTCCTGCGCCGTATCCTGACCTCTCCTGATACCTTCGACCCTGAGCTCCCGCGGTCTGACACTCTCCGCCAGAGCGGTCCGCGGCAGATCTCTGTGAGTTCGAGGCCAGCCTGGTCTACATAGCAAGTTCCAGGACAGCCTCCAAAGCTACAGAGAAACCCTGTCTCGAAAAACCAAAAAAATAAATAAATAAAAATAAAAATTGCTGTTGAAGCCCGCATGCCTTCAGTGTCAGCACTCAGGAAGCAGAGGAAGGCGGATCTCTGTGAGTTCGAAACCAGCCTGGTCTATAGGAGCTAGTTCCAGGACAGCCTCCAAAGCCACAGAGAAACCCTTCTCAAAACCCTCCCTGCCCAAAAAAATTTCTGTTGAGTTGCTCACTTGTGTTTTTTTTTGTTTGTTTGTTTGTTTTTGGGGTTTTTGTTGTTGTTGTTTTTCGAGACAGGGTTTCTCTGTATTGTTTTGGAGGCTGTCCTAGAACTCACTCTGTAGACCAGGCTGGCCTCAAACTCACAGAGATCCACCTGCCTCTGTCTCCCAAGTGCTGGGATTATAGGCATGTGCCACCAACACCCGGCTGCTCACTTGTGTTTTCTGAAAAATTATTCAATGGATTTTGGTTTGGGATTAGGACAAGATTTACAACCATTTCTGAAATGGCCCTAAGCACACATCTGACATTTTGTACTACATATTTATACAAATGGTATTCCCAGTATCAACAATTATAACATCAAAATATTGGACTGGTGTTTGAGTTCAGCTTCTGTAGAGTGCTCACATACCATGCACACAGCCCTGGATTCAATAAGCGGTCCCTGAAACACCAAATTTAGTAGCACAGACTATGTTCCCAGTATTTTTTAAACGCAGAGGGTTAGAAGTCAAGGTACCTCAGGTACCTAGCAAACCTGAGCCAATCTTGGCTACCTAAGACCCCAACTGATTAATTTGCATGCTAATTAGATATGTGTGCTTAGTTTTACATAATGAATTAAATCTTGGATGAATATTTGACACTTCAAGACTCAGAATATTTCCATATTTCTCAATTTGACCAACTAAAAAATATCAAAGATGTTGTATCCTGTAGTATCAAATATTCAGCAAAGATTTAGTTCTCTATGTAAAAATAAGTATATTATCTCATGAGCATGAAAATTTGCATTCATCACTAACAAATGCCAAAATTATAACTAGTAAATGTTTGATTTGCATACCTACATTTTATATTATATGTATGTATGTATTGTGTGTGTTTATGCACACCCAGGAACTCAAAAAAAAATGTATCAGGCTGCACAGGCAGTGGTGTCACATGTCTTTAATCACAGCACTCAGGAGGGAGAGGCAAGTGGATCTCTGTGAGTTCAAGGCCAGCCTGGTCTACAGAGTGAACTCCAGGACAGCCAAGGCGACACAGAGACCTTGTTTTAAAACCTCACCCCATCAAAAAAGTATCAGACTAGGTAGAAAGTGGAAATCATTTAAGAAGTCTGCTCTCAGAACTCTAGCAGAGACCTTTGTCATGTCTTATTGCTCCGAGAAGGGAAGAACCGAGCCAGGCCTCCCGCCCTTTCCTGGACTCATCCTTTTGAGTTGAGCAAAACTCTGAAATAAATGCATGGAAATGGAGGAATAGGTAGGTAGGTGCCCTAGTTTTCTTCCCTGTTGCTGTGCTAATGCACCCGGAGAGAGGCAACAATAAGGGAGAAAGGGTTGATTCGGCTCACAGGTCCAGACTGCAGTCTGTCTTTGTGGGGAAGTCAAGGCCACAGGAGCCTGAGGAGGTTCATCACGTTCACAGTCGAGAACAAGGAGAATGAATGCGCCGCTGCCTACTAGTCAGCTCATCTCCGTTCTTACACAAGGAATGGTACTGCCCACAGTGGGCGGGGTCATTCCACACTAACAAAACTAAGACAACCCCGTGAGGGTCCCCATAGGCTCCACCCCATCAGAGGAGCTGTGCTCAGTTAACAGCTGCTGAGGACAAAGTCATTCTCCTTCGCTTGGCTGCACGTCCCCTAGTGGATGGCCACACACCCACGGACACACAAAGGCAACACTAACTGGACTCAGGGAGTTGTTAATAACAAAATAAGCGAACAAAAAGAAGGCATGAATCCGGGAAGAAACGGGGTGGGGGATTAGGGAAAATTTGAGGGAGGTAGCAGTAGGCAGATAAAACAATGTACACTGTAAAACTGTATGGAACTTTCAAACAATTAAAAAATATAATTTATATAATCAATGTACATTGTAAAATGTACAGAATTTTCAAATAATTAAGAAATATCATTTGTTAAAAAAAGAAAAAGCAATTGTCCAAAGAGATGCCCACTGTCCAACTTGATCTAGCCAATACCTCACTGAGAATCTCTTCCTGGGTAAACCTACATAGTATCAGGCTGACGATTCAAATTAACCAATATACTGCAAAAGGGGACAGAAAAGCTGAGAAGTCGCTGGAAGAGGAAAACGTGGTAGCAAGCACAGTGGGAACCCCTGGGTTAGCGATCTGGGGTCCCCTCCCCACCCGCTCCCCCCCACAAAGTACTCAGGGTGTCTTTGAAGGGGCCGCCCTCCTCTGTGGTCACCTGTGAGGAGAACGATTCTTTCAGTTCCAAACCCAGAGCCTGAGCCAGCCACCTTTTACCCAGTGACCTACCATCAGGTGGCCATGGCAACTGGTAAGCCCATGATGTAAACCTGGTTTCATTAGAGGGCAACCCCGTGTTTCATTTGATGGGAGAGAAAGTGCATTTTTCTTCTGATAAGGAGAAAGCGTGTAGACCCAGGACCTGTTGACAGCATCTTGTACCCTCGAACACAAATAGACTTTGAATAAAACTGGACCCTGAAAAGCAACTTTATTTGCCCCTAAATTTTCAGTAGCATCATTGAGCTCCTACATCAAATCCCACCTGAAGGCCACTCTACCTCTGAATTTTTGCAATGATGTAAGCCAATAAATACTCTAGAAAGTAAATTTGAGTTCAGTTTTCTTAATTAACATGAACCAATGCATAAAGGCTCCCTGACAAGGGCCATATGCTATGTTCCACAAAACACTGAAGACAGTTTTCTACTTGAGAAAGACCTTTCTCAGAGTCTTTCAACTTCACACTCTTTTTGCTTTGTTGTTTTGGGTGTTTCTTTAGGGGGGCCTTTTGAGACAGGGTTTTTCTGTGTAACAATCCTGGCTGTCCTCAAACTCGCTCTATAGACCAGGCTGGCATTGAACTCACAGAGATTCTGTCTGCCTTTGCCTCCCAAGTGCTGGGATTAGCAGCATCTGGCTCTACCCTGTACTTTTAGTAGATACATATCTATTGCTTTTTAAAAAGTGGACTTAGAGCCCCAAAGTTGTCAAACGTTTAAAGAGTAGTTAAAATGTATCATCTTACAAAATGTAAAAGAATCTTACGATGTGTCAGCATTAAAAAAAGAGAGTCTTATAATTTGGACTGTTCTTCAAGTAGCCACATCTGGTCTGCTCTATTTAAAGTGTGATTTCTTTACAAACAAATAAAAATCTATTTGCCACATTTACTTTAAATTTTAAATGTTGGGAAATGATAGAAGCTTCTACTAATTGCTGAATTATACATGACTCAGATATCTCTCACTTTCAGGAGATACAAGCTCTACGTCATAGGAAAACAGAGAAAGCTATTATGTTTCTCACAGCCCCAGAGAGAGGGTGAGGGGTGCGATGTGTGTGTCCTTCCAGTGAACTCTCCCCCACAGTCCTGTTGCTGGTTCCTCTTCAAGCGGTTCCATTCCCCTTGCATCACAGCCTTTGATAAAGCTGACCCATGAGTGGCAGGATGTGCCTAGGTCCAAATTCCTACCTATGCTTATGCTTGCAGTGGCTTGGGTAGGTGCAGTGACGAATACCTGTAATCCCAGCTATTTGGAGGCTAAGGTGGGATGATCTTCTAAGACTATAAATTCAAATTAAGGTAAGCCTGGGCAACACAGTAAGATGCTGTCAAAAAGCCAGGCATTGATGGCACATGCCTTTAATCCCAGCATTTGGGAGACAGAGGCAGGCGGATCTCTGTGAGTTCTAGGCCAGCCTGGTCTACAGAGTGAGTTTCAGGACAGACTCCAAAGTTACAGAGAGAAATCCTGTCTTGAAAAACCAAAGCAGAAAAAGAAAAAGAAAGAAAGAAAGAAAGGAAGGAAGGAAGGAATGAAGGAAGAAAAGATGCTGTCAAACAATAAAAATAAATGTAATGGTTGCTCTTAAACCCAGAGCTTGTTTTACACAGGCACCCAGGCATTCAGTGTTGTCCCCCACCGCTGCCACCACCACTGTGGAAAAGTCTTGCTGTGTAACACAGCCTGGTCTGATGCTCACTGTGTAACACAGGCTGGCCTCTAATTCACATCAACCTGTCTCAGCCTCCCCAGCACTGGTGTGGCAGCTATAGCTGAAATTTTGTTTGGCTCCTGGCTCTCATTTTGTTTTCCTTTGAGACTGAGTCTTATTACATAGCCTTGACTGCCATGAAACTCACTATGTACACTGGATTGGTCTCAGACTCATAGGAGCCACCCTACCTCTCCTGTGCTAGAATGAAATCATGTGCCACTAGAATTAAAGGCATGTGCCACAACACTATTGTTGTTTTGTTTTGTTTTGTTTTTTTGAGACAGTGTTTCTTTGTGTAGCTCTGGCTGTCCTGGAACTTGCTCTGTAGGCCAGGCCAAACTCACAGAGATTCACGTGCCTCTGCCTCCCCACTGCTAGAATTAAAGGGTCATTTGAAATAATATTTTATGTTTTAATGATTCCTGTTTATATATTTATGAACATTGATGTTTTTGCCTACAAGTATGTGTGAAGGTGTCAGATCCCCTGGAACTGGAATTACAGACAGTTGTGAGCTGCCATATGGGTGCTGGGAATTGAACCCCATTCTTCTGGAAGAGCAGTCAGTGCTCTTAGCCGCTGAGCCATCTC